ATAAGAGGTGCCTTGGCACGGCTGTGCGGTTTTCACATTTTCTGCAGAAGACGTGTATCCAAACCTCTGTTATTAACCTTAGTGTTGAGACAAGTTTTTTTTACATGCTGGCTTGTGAGTGTGCCATGATGCCTTTCTACTGTTTACTGTTCAAAGCCCATTTCGTGTGCACCTTACTGTATAGTTGGTGACAAATTGTTGAGTGTGTTTGTCATTTGTTTTGCGAATCTGACATCATGCCTGATGAATAGTACTGTCCAGTTCTGTGAGATTTGATGGTTGTGTGAGATTTGATGGTGGCTATTTCAACTTCGTCCCACAAATGCTCAATTGGATTGAGATCTGGTGATTGTGAGGGCCACCTAAGCAAGGTAAAGTCTCCCTCATGTTCCTGAAACCACTCCTGCACAATACGAGCACCGTGGCATGACGCATTGACTTGTTGGAAGAAGCCATCTCCATTGGGATACGCCATCAACATGATAGGATGAACTTGATCAGCAACGATACTTTGGTATGTTGTGCTATTCAAACGTTGTTCCACACGAATTAAAGGGCCCAAATCATGCCAGGAAAACATGTACCAAAACCATAACACTGCCCCCACCAGCTTGAAGGTTTGTACTCATGCATGTGGGGTGCATGCTTTCATGCTGTTTCCACCAAATTCTCACTCTGCCATCTGCATGATGCAACTGGAAACGTGATTCATTGGATGACATGACTTTTTTCCAATGCTCGACTCTCCAATCCTTGTGTTCCTGTGCGAATTGGAGACGTTTTATCTTGTTAACTGCAGACAGCAAAGGTGTGTGCGTAAGGACCAGTCTTGAAGCCGACTTTAACATAAAACAGGACTGTGTTTTATTTCTTTCATCAACACAACAATGACTTTCTTAAGTAACAACATAAAGTTTGCTTGTATTTCAGCAATAGACAACGTCTCAGCAACGAAAGATTGTCACACAAACTCCATGTGTAACTGGCTCTCTAAGCCTCCTCGGCTGTCTTCCCTATGCCTCTATCACACACAGCCACCTGGCTGCCCTCTGACTTCTGGCTGGAGTCCTCTTGACTCTTGAACACCTCCGTTCCTCTTCACAGCTGGAGCCATGAACATTAGCCAGCACCTTTTCCACATGGGCTGTGCACAGGCAGGCCCGGATTCCCCACAAGGCCACCGAGGCCAGGCCTCGGGGGGGCGGCAGGGCTCCGAGGGGCGGCAGTGGCGTGGAGTCACCCGTTGCCCGGAACGTACAGTTCCGGGTGCTGGGCGGTAAGTTGCCTTCTACATTTAGTCCTGCTTTGGGAAGGCAGGACTAAAAGTGTGGGGAATCCGCTCACTCGATGTTGCCGCAATCACTTCTAAAATATGTGCTGTCGTCCGTCCTCCCCCGCCCCGACCCCCACATACCTCTCTCTGCTGGCTCTGCCTTCGGGACTCCGTCCTCCCCCCGGCCGCCGAGTCTCTCTCCTGTCCCTGCCGCCGATGTACACAGGGAGAGGGGAGAGCTGTGCTCTTCCCATCTCAGATGTGACAGGAGTTCTAGCACAGTGCTGTGCTAGAACTCCTGTATTGGAGGTGACAGGGTTAATAAAGAGAACCTGTCACCTCCAATTGCTAGCACACAGGGGATTGTTTTCTCCTGTGTGATAGCAATAGAGTTAAGTGAAAAAAAATTGATAAAAAAATAAATACAAATTTTAAAAAAATTATAAGAAATAATAATTAAATGAAAAAAATAAAATAGTCATTAAAAAGTAAAAAATAAGAAAAATAATACTGAAAAATAATTATAAAAAAATACACAATAACAAAATAGAAAATTTAAAAAAAAAGTAAACAACAATCTA